GTGTGTGTATATAGGGAAGGGGAAGAGTAATGTGGGCATGTGTGATGAGAGGAAGATGAAAGCAGGTTTATTCTCTTTGTTGGACACTGCCATTGGATAGTTTGGGGGGAAGAGACCAGCAGGGCATGTGGACTGCCCATGTAGAATAAATGGCGTTCATGGACAGAGTTTAGAAAGAAATGTTTATATGGTGAGAAGAGCTTACTGGGACCATTTAATAAAAATTGACCAATTTACCAGCAGAACTTGAGGAGGAGACACAACAAAGTTATTATTATTTGGTCAGAGCAGAATTTATTTGGTCAGTTTAGATTGAAACAAGTAAAGAACGCTTTGGGATACTTATATTTTCAGGATTAACTGCAGCATAGGAGATAAACATTTTTCGCCAAGACCTCCCTCTGGATATCTATATAATAAACCATAATTTAAAAAACTTTGTTCATGTTGACAAATACAAACCTACCTGAATTATGGCAAAATATATGAAAGACTGATATAACGAAGGACAGACATAAAATGATTGATAGAGTGAACGACAATCATTAGAGTGAACAAAAGAGCAATAGAATAAACGGACGTTCAATAGAGTGATTGATAGAGCGACAGAACGATTAAACAATCGGTAGAGGGAACGACAGAGTGAATGAACTCAATAGAGCGAATAAACAATCAATAAAGCGAAAGATATACAGAAGATATAGTGGAAGATATAGAGATAGATATCTCTCTAAGCAGAATGGGCGCTACCGGTGCTCAGCAGATGGTCTCTATCTTTACACCGCTGTTTCCCTTTGCACTTCTCTCTTCTGTCAAAGCTGTTATTCTTCACACAATACAGCTCACCGGCTAAAGAGCTTCAAAAGCTGTTCTCCAACACACAACACACCGAGTCATTAGCAAGACCTTAACGCCGGGAGATATATGCCGTTGCATCACTAGCACTAATTAGTCAGAAATTAATAAAAACCTCAGACTAGGTTTGAAAGGGAGGAGGCGGCATTTTCATAAAAATTCATGAATACAAGATGAATGTGATATGACTTGTAAGGGCCCGAATAGGTTTTGAAAGACATTTTCTTTTTCCTTAGGTTTATGAAAGGTCCTTGTGCAGACAATACCATTTAAAAGTTCAAACACACCTACTCATTATTTAATATCATTTGAAAATGCGTAAATTAGCAACAATAAATGCAAAACCAACAGAATGAATGAAACAGAAGCATGGGAAAGGCGTAGTAAATAAGTCAAATGTTTAACATGAAAGTAGCCACACTCTGTCTACATTACATGGCCACTTGTTGGGCGCTTTTCATTCACTATTCAGTCAACTTTAAAACAAAAAAATTAAATAACCCTCACCGTGTGAAATAGTCATTCCTGACCAGCAGCAGGTGCTGTAGTATGGAAAGAAAATTGCTCTCGGCGCTTGTGTCCTTCACAGAGCAGTATAGCACATTAAAGACATCTCCGATATCAGTACGCACTTTGTTAAGGAACAATCAAGCACTGCAGCTGCCAAAATAAAAGCAACAGATGGAAACATACAGAAGAAAAGAGCATACACTCTCTTAATACATGCAGTGCAGACACAAAGACAAAGCAAAGAACTACTGACTAGCCTTGTCACAGCATGAGACTTGTAAAACACTGCTAATGAAAGCAAACGATTCAGGATGATTTATGGTTATGATTAAATCTAAGAAAACAACATCAATGCAGTCAGTGCATGGTTTCTGAAGATATTAATACAGTTTACATATGGTCAACATTTTATTGTTGGAGGTCCTCTAAGGATCAAAGAATGAATGGGACAAAGAAAGAAGACGACACAGGGGAGGGAGAGTTTTCTGAGGAGTGTTTAAGTGTGGACAGAGTATCAAATGAAATTGCATGCATCTCAGCGTCAGAAGGATATTCTAGTTCACTTCTGATGTCCTCCAGGCGATGGGAGAACTCAATCATGTCCTCCTCCTTGTGCTCCTCAAAGACCTTCAGCTGGATATCCAGAGTATCATTTTTTACAGTGTCCAGGGTCTACACAGCGTGAAGGGCAAGGGGAAACAAAGAGAAGAAAAGAGCAGATTAAATGGACCATGCCACAGAAAACATGATATTCCTTGGTCTTTTGAAATAAAGGCTTTGATGTACTACTGGACATAGACACACAACTCAAAGTTCCCTGTTAGTCCAACCAAACTATTGCTGGACACCAAAGGCAAGCGCACACTACAGGCATGAGGTGCGACGGACTTCATAATTGATTAATATAGTCTGGAATTAGCTGTGTACAGTGTGCACCAACACAACAGAAATCAATAAACTGCAAATGTTTTACTTTTCTTATACACTTGGCCTAAGCTGTAAAAAAACAACAATTCTGATGTCAGAATCACAAGCACATTAACACATTTCCACAAACATCTAGTCAGTATTCAGAAAGCTGGTGGGAGTATTTATTTATTTTTTGCTCATTTCATACGCAAAGAGGTTAGCCAATCAGAACAGAGGTTAACTGCATATAGAAATCATACAGATATAGTAGTAAAAACAGCAGGTGTTATTCTAAAAAAGCAGCTAGAAAAAGAAATTGAGGG